ATACGCAACAGGGATGTTTCAAACTCTTACCATTCTTAATTTCCAAAATAAAAATAAAAATTTAAAAATTTAAAAACAGAGACGAAACGGAGGAAATCTACTCAAGCGTTCGTTCAATTTCGTTTCCCGTTAAGTATCATGTCACTTCTTTGACGTAAACTCCGAATATTTTTGTTAAATATTCCGCCACGAGGACGCTTGAGAAAATATTTTCATTAGTGTAACTGTTACCGTGGAAACAAAAAGGGACATATTTACTAGTATGCAATCCTTATATTATAACATTCTTATTTGGTTTAAAGGGAAAACTGAAAATTCATTACTTCATGTCTCGAGATCTCGATTTTATTTTGTGGCACGCTTGTACGTACACTTGCTTACTACACTTTTATCAGAAGATTTGTCACGCAACGGGTGTTAAAAGATCACCGGAAGTCGAACGAAGGTACATATGGCTTACACGCATGCTCACACGCTGTCATTTTTGACTGGTGGTCCATGGAAAGTTTTACAAAATAGTAATGGAGTGGTGCTAACCCTGATTTACCTAGTATTTTGCCCACGATGTGGGTCTTAAAATGTTTTCTCAGTTTTATACATCTACTGTTGTACATAAGATGGATCATAGCTATTTTATTTGACGGAATTAGGAGTTATTTCTCGATCAGTTCGAGAACGTGTACACATGGAAATATTAAGAACGATTCACTAAACCTTAAGAAACTTCCAAGACACATCAGTTTCATGGTTCTAGAGTCCGATGTCAGTTTTGTAGACCTGGCTCAACTTATCGTCTGGTCAATGGCCATGGGAATTCCTTACATCAGCGTTTACGATAAAGAGGGTAGGTCGTACAATTTCAATTTGCCTGTACTCAGTATGATGTAATTTACTTTACCCTCAAATGTAACAAACCTCAATGCATTTTTCGAATCAGTTGTAAAAAGAATATTGCTCGTTTTCAGGCATAATAAAGAAGAATGTTGCAGTCTTCTCAAGTGAAATTATTCGGAAGCAAAAAGAAGTTTTTACAGATGAATCCAGCAAATACACATTTGTTCTGAGAACAAAAGACGTTAAATTCGATTGTGAGATCCTTGGTAAGTCAGAGCAATGTATATTTGTTTGGTTGTAAGGCTTTGTGATGCTTATCTTTTTTTATTTGGGTTCTAATAACATGGATGTTTGATGATTAAAATTATTTTTTTCTCTTATTGCGTATCAAGAATCGTAGTCTTCCCTGGGGTCTTAGTCCAGATTGACATGTTTCTCATATTACTCTGAACTTTATACGTTATTTCCTCCCCGGCACAATAGCCAATTAATGAAGTGTTTCCGGTTTATTCCCACAAGAAAGATCAGAGTGTGATTTAATTCTCATGCTGTGATTCTGATCTCATACATCAGACATGACTATTGTGAGGAGGAGAAGAACAGTTATGTCCTTTGAACTTCAGCACTATCAGTATCTCCTGGTCCAAATCCCATACAAGTTTATCATACTATTTTTAGTTTTCTTGTTTTTTCTTATTATGTGATCCTTAGATAGGTTTGTCATATGTTAAGCATGTGACAGGATATCAGGTATAGAAACTGACAAGCAAAGGTCATGAAAATTCTGTCAACCCTTGCTATTCTGGATACATCTTATGGATAATCTACTTACTCTGCTGTGGTATTTTCTCTCAATTTTGAGGATCAAGTGATTAATTTTTTCCTATAGCACAGTCTTTGTTAAATAAAAAACTGCAGAAGTTGACTTTGTATTTTTAGAATACTGTTTTTACACACTGTCCCAAGTTTCTCATTCTTGAAATTATCGTTTGCACTAGAATTGGTCATGGAAATATTAATCAAACATTTTTTTTCTCTGGTTTTGCAAGACAAGGTTATCATGAATGTCTGTCTGTTGATTTAAAGTTGTCTTCAAACTTTCCATAATCTTAGTCATCACATTCTATGAGATTGTATCAGTGCCTCCTTAATGGTCATCATGTTTATCTTTGCCCAATTTTTTTGCCCAGTATTGTTGACTCTACTCCAGCTATTGAATTAGTGAATTTGTGACTATTGTGTTGCTGTTCTTTCTGTAGCACCAACACAAGTGTGTATCAGCTTGCTGTCTGAGCAGGATGGAAAGGGAGACATTGTTGATGCTGCAAGGGAGTTTTGTAAGGGAGTCCAACTGAAGCATAGAATGCCTAAACAAATGGAGCCAGATGTTTTCAATGATATTCTAAAAGGTAAGTGGAAGGAAAGGAAACTTAATCACTGTTTGATCATTTGCACAGTAGGTGGGAGTTTTAACCCTTTAACTCCCAGAAGTGATCAACATGCAACTTCTCCTAGTTGTGTTTGTATGTCATCCAGCAAACAGTTAAGGAGAATACTCAAACTCATCACCTAAAAGTTTATCTTGACATAACATCAAATTATTATATCAATTTTTACAAGAAAATATGTAGCAGTTAGAAGGGAGACTTAGCAGTCAAATCTTAAGAATTAAAGGGTAAAAAAAATCAGAATTTCACTTTTCGTGACAACTCTGTGTCTGCAATTAAAGAGACTCAGTTGTAAGTCAGGGTTAGGGTTATGGTTAAGTGTTAACAAATGAGGATTTCTTCCTTGTTTGAAATTACAGAGCAGCTTTTTATTTTTTGATTCACTGACAATTGAATGGCATTAAAAAAATGTATTTTTTTAATGATGCAATAAGTGTCAAGAATTACAAAGAAATCCTGCATTTGGATGCTTCAAGGAATTTTAAAATCTCTGGTTAAAATCTCTATTTTGTTGGTGTTGTAGAGTGGATTTCAATGTTTAAACACCATGTTCAATGTTTAAATGTTTTTTAAATGCTGCAGTGTTTATTAAATTTTTCTTGATTCGAGTGTGGTATTTAATGGAGTGGCATTTATATGAGGGCAGTGTTTATTTAAAATCCAATTTATATCTTGTCAACAATAACATGGAGACTGACTATCTGAATAAAAAAAAAAGAAAAAAAGAAACATGTTTTGGTGCTTGTCTCAAAAGTAATTTTTTAGATCATTCTCAATTTCACAGTTTGCATGTTAATGCTACTGCAGTACATAAGGTGAATAAAGATTTAACATCGGATATGCTTTCTTGACATCAGAACTGGTACATACAAAAGGATTTTTGTCTGGCTCACCCAAAATTTCCAACTGCAATGGAAGCACTGATTGCTGTGTGCTTTTTTAGTCTATTATTTGAATAAATGCTGCATCATGATGTGGTGTTTATTCAAGGGCAGCAGTCATTAACACTTTTGTTCTAAAATGCAGCATTTATTTAATGGTGGCATTTAATCAAGTTAATACAGTCGGTGAACTTGAAGTTTTCATACATGTAGTTAGTATTAAGTACTTGTTAAGAGCTAGTTATGCCCAAAATAATAACCTTCAATGGAAACAGAGCTTCTAATGCAGAATGTTTTTATTGTAGCAACATGTGGAATACCAGACCCAGAACTTGCATTAAAGTTTGGTGATGTACAAATGATAATGGGATTCCTTCCATGGCAAACTCGCCTCACAGAATTTCAGTAAGTAACCATGTTTGTTACATTTTACAGGCACCCTTTGAGGCATGGATGCAACTGCATAGCTAATGGAAGGTGCTGCAGTAATTAGCTCCTTGCTTGTTAAAAGGCACTCTCACAGAAGGGGGGCACCTCAAATGCTTGCCACGTCTTTGGGGTTCAAAATTTAAATTGTTGTATTTGGTATGGCAGATGAGAACACATCCTTCAAAACTGGTTAACTGATTTACAATTAAAGCAACCCCCTCCTCCCCTGCCCCCACCCCCCACCCCCCCACCCCCACTCCCCACCCCCCACTCCCCACCCCCCACTCCCCACCCCCACTTCCTGATATTTCAAGCTCTTTAAGTACAGTGGAATCTCTTGGGTTTAATCTCCCTTTCAGACAGAGTTTACTCAATAAATGGTTTTCTTTCTTTGTTTATAGGCCTTTAAGAAGTCACATCAACATCAACTATTCCACTTTCCTTTCATCTCTTATAAAATATGGAAAATGTCAACAAAGATTTGGCAAATGACAAGAAATATCTCTAGTGCTAAAAATGTTTGTATTACAAGAGAATGATTAAACCAATTTTGGCATTATTTTTATCAAAATTTTGTATAAATATTTATAAATACTCTTAACATGTTTGGTTTTATCCTCCTCCTCAAGTAAATTCTGGGTACCTTATCAAAGGCATATATTCTCTGTTATAAATTATCTGATCAGTGACATAATTAAAATACAATGTTTCCTTCTACTCTTGCTGTTGTCATTCATAAATACCTTGCACTAACCAAGATTAAGGTCTGCACTATAAATTACAGAACAAATTTGTTTTTATAAATCTGAGTGGAAAAATGTGATAATCCAGCACAGACTGAGAGAACATAATTAGTAAGATACTTCTTATATCTCTGGGTTCACATAGAGGGGAAGATTTCAATACCAAGAAACTTTAATTTGAGTTTTAGTAGGTGGTACAGTGAACCAAGGCCTGCTAAATCATCCAATCATAGTGCACATACAAACAGAGCTGTAATAAAATTTCAGTTTTCTTTTCCTGAGTCATTCCTTGACTCGGTAAGACTTCACTACAGCCATTATTTGGCCTCTTCTAGCATCAAATTCTCCTCCCAGAGGTAATAACATGATGAGATCAAAAAGTAACTGCAGAGACCATAATTAGCATTAGCAGAGTGTTCCGTGACTGTATGGCTATCTCCCAATCCTCCACAGTAATTATTTTTCAGTGAAGCCTAGAAAGTAGGCAGTGATTAGTTTCTTGTGAGAGATAGGTCAGATGTACAGTAATTATCTTTTGGCCTGTGCAGATGTCAGTCATTTGAATTTCAAGGTTTAATGGCTTTTAGAGTCACCATATAATTGATTATTTTTTTGAGAAAAGAAACTTCTACTTAGACTGAGAGGCTTGCAAAAAGACAGAATGGTCAACTAATCAAATAATACTTTATTTACAATTCTAAATAGTTAACTTCACAATTAACAATCAGGTTTCAGACTCATTTGATGGGTTTTCTTCCGATGTCGTCTCAGGGAAGATTTGGTCAGGTTTCATGGCACTCAAGGCAAAGTTAACACTTGTATCCTCAATCCAGCACCATTTGTTAAACACTGGCATGAAGAACATTCCTTTTACATCCATAACTTCTGCACCATCTGTGCAAATCAAAATGATATGAAGAAATAAAATGAATGTGAGAGAAGTATCTACATGATGTGAAGCTAAGGAACAATGGGGCTACAATCCTTGTCGCAATTGATGAAACATCGCTACCTTTCCCCCTCAATGTCAATGAAAGTAATGAGAAAATCAAATGGCATGGAAAAATGCAACATTACAAGAGAAGGGTGTTTTGTGTTTCAACAGAACTTGACTAAGGTTGTGGCTTGCACAGAAACGTGCTCAGATAACAATGTAGGTGCATTAGCCAAAATTAGGGCTTTTGTGAGGCAAAGTTTTTTTATGTCAGGAAGCAAGACAGATTTTTGGCTCCTCTTAAGCTTATTAAACTAGCCCTGCAGATACAGGCACCCTGTTTGTAACTTATGAAAGGTTTTGGTGTTTTTTGATTTCTTATTTTACAGTGGAACAAGAGCAATTGACACAAAATGCTACTTTGTTCTGACATTTTAAGGATCATTCTGCTATTTTCTGTTTATCTTGTGTTTAGAAACACTGTATGGTGAATTTGTGCAATAAAAATTTATCACATACTTTGAGATATCAGATCTGCCAGGTCGTCAACAGTCACAAACTTGTTCCAGTCATGAGTTCCAGGTTTTACTAATCTCAAAAGATATTCTGCTCCTACAATTGCTGCAGCATATGAGAAAACTGTCTGGTTGATTGTTGTTATCACTAGAGAACCTCCTGGCTGAATAAATAAAATAAATTGTTTAAAACCTAACATTCAATTTTTTTAGAGTTAAATTCTGTAGCTATCCCATGCTACCAATTTTCTGTTTTGATCCATTTATGAACTCAATACCTTGCAGTACATGATATTTCCAATAATTAAAGGCCCTATGTTAGCACCTTGGGTCACCAGAAAATTTTTGTAGGACCAGAGACATGCACTCCATCAAATATAGCTCTGCTACATTAAACATTTCTTTCTTTCCATTATTTTCTGAATAACTTTAATTCTGGTACCCCATATGTACAGATTCAGCTCCCAATGGGTCGTTCTTGCTCTGAGCCTTTCAATTAGGGCTGACTGGTTTAACCACAAGTAATCTGAGTACAAAATACACTCTAGATAGTATATCTGCATGAAATTAATGACACATAACACCACGATGATTATGGGATACCAGAGAGATGGAACAAGTTTAAAGGTTGGAAATGTTATATATTTAATTATCAAATTAGGATTGTGTTCAAGACAGATTTCACTCAGTTTTTCCAATTGTATTATATATTTTATTGTAATTGTTTCTAAGTTGTAGTTAGGCAGGTCCACATCAGGACTTCGGTCTTGCCAATCCTTCTAACCTGCATTGTTAAATAAAGATGTATGTATGTATGTATGTATGTATGTACCTTCCCTCATGTCTAATTAACAAACGCACCTTTAGCATCTGTGTGCTTGCAGAAATAAAAGTGTCTTTATCTGTTACATGTTCAATAACTTCTGAAGCAACAACACAGTCAAAAGATTCTGGTTCCTTATCAGCTAGCTCTTCTACTGTGATGCATTTGTACTGCACATTTCTGGCCACCTTAAAATCATGTTGTGCATGTCTCAAGGCAGCATGTATATTGAATGCTGATGCATCAACTCCTGTCACTTCTGCACCTAGTCTTGCCAAAGGCTAAATAAATAAACCACTTTGAGTTGATTGGAGACTAACCACATCTAAATAACTAGTTTATGGTTCAAGCAACTAAACTAAATTAACAGAAGTAAAATAAGCTTTTCAAATGAAATTGGATGTGAAACTTTTTTTGTCTATTAATTAATGAAAAGCCCTTACAATGCTTAAGGTCTCAGTGAAAAAATAGGAAGAAATAATTGCAGCATTCCAGGATTACTTTTACTATGAGGTCTTAATGTTTAAGTTTTCTGAGGTTAAGGGGTCTTGGGTCTTAGTCATAGCTTAGAAGGTCTGATGGGAAGAGGTGGTTTTTAGTGTACATATTTGGAAACATTTGGTGTGTCCATAAAATTGATTTCAAACTAGTTAAATTTATGCATAATTTTTTTTGCACACATAGCCTTGATCAATGCACCGGGTACACATACCTGAGTCAAAGATTTCATAGCAGTACAAGCCTATGAGATCTTTTGACTCAGTACAAGGCTAAAATAGAGAATCTTCTCAGGAGAGGTATAATAAAAATCAGTTATACTGCTAGTTTATAAACTGGTCATAAAACTCTTACCTCAGACAATACTCCACCTCCACAGCCGACATCCAGTATTCTAAAACCTTTCAGAGGTTTTGAGGGGATGACATTTTCCCCAAGTAGATGCTCAAGAGAGCTTTTAATAAAAGGAACTCGGAGTTTATTCATAGAATGAAGAGCGGAAAAGTCACCATTTGGATTCCACCAATCACTTATTGTCCGGCTTAGCTTCTCAATCTCTTCTTCATCAACAGTACTCTTGTGGAAAATGATCAAAGACATAACATATTGGTTATTCTTGGACGAAAGTGCTGATTCACTTGAGCTGCATATATTTTTTTCCGGTAACATTGATCTGCAACTACTTAAGATAGTTTTCCTTACCTTTGCTGAGGTACAGAAATGCCTGCTACGTATAAAGCTCTTGGCAATATGCTCTACTCGGGGTGAACTTAACCCACATTTAATTCTGAAAACTGCAGAGCAAGTTCGGGCCGCCATGTTTGTTTTCGTTTAATTTCCTGAGCCCACAGTTGTGATACAACTAAAACATACGTTATGTAATATGGCAGATAAGACGACGTACAGTATTTACATGCGTTAAGTCGAGATGGCTGGATATTAACCGAGTTTCTTTTTTGGCGTTTTTATGGACGGAGACGCTCTGAAGAAGGGCTAACGCTCGAAACGTCAGCTTAGCAACTCTTTACAGGGCCAATTTACTTTATCAGCTCAGTCGATAAAACCAAATTATACAATTACAACATTTCCCAATATTCCACAAGTTTTGCAAACTTGACATTACCCGCCAAAAATGGCGAAAGTTTGCTTAGCGTGCGTTCAGTACGTGGTTTATGAGTTGATTTGGTCACCAATCTGCAAAATTTTTGCCTATCAATTATGTAAGGAACTTAAACCTAAATTCATTCTTTTTTTTTCACAAGACAATGCAGTTTGGAATGAAAGATTGTCTATCATATTAGTAATTAGAGAATCTAAGTCTCTTTCGTCGTGACCGCCGAATAAGAGGAGCTCTATGGGCGGAATTTTTGCAAGGTTAAAGCCTCTCTCTTAAGTAACTATACTCACAAATTCTACGGAGGAAATGAGCTGTTCATACTCTTCCGACCGAATTTGAAATTTTCTGATTTCAGGCACCTTCCCACCAATTTTGTTGAGTACACTATTCGGCTGTGATTTTAATAAGAAGAGAGCCTATGATTGGATCAGTTGAAGAAACTAGCGTTCTGATGAGCCTTTTCAACCCGTTTTCCTACTTGATTTTTTTCTATAAAAGGTTATATGAATGATATCAATTAAAACATCAGTAAATGTTGGAACCCTCTTGGAGATCCGATGACTTAGCCTGTTCTAAGTTAAAGAAATCGACGCTAAGATGGATGTTGATCAGCGAACGTGAAAGAAAAATGAAGCGATTTTTAAAAGTCTGTTATTCCACCAGGTACGCTTAGCCACGAACAAGAATACAAAAATGTAAAAGAAAAATTGTGATCAAAAATTGTGGTCGAAAATTAGTTTAGCACAAATTTAGAGGTGATAGCGAAGGGAACGAGTAGAGCTTGAAAAGGAAACACACTGAGAATGATAAAAAACATTCGAATAGAAGATATAAGATCTAGAATAGGAGAAATAGTAAATTTTGAGCCAGGTGATGAGGAGAGAAAGCTGTTTTACGTCTAACGCAAGCGTTGGACAAAGAAGTCCCCACGAGGATTCGAACCTCAGACCTTCGGATTCCGCGCGCCGATTCTCTACCACTGAGTCACTGAGACTGAATAGTGGTGAACTATCCAGGTCATTACGAGGTTCACATGTGATCTCTTTCCTGAAACTCCTTGGATCAGCAACTAAAGAGTCTTGGGTGTAAATAATTTTACTTACACACATGGATACGGTAGTTTCGAATTAGACTATAATTCAGAAATTGTTCAAGTTTTAAATCTGCTGGAGAAACGTAAATATGAATAGCTCCAAGAACTAGACCAATTGTTTTGCTATGATATATGATTTTGAAAAAATACCATAAACTTTGCCATAGAAATTCCTTAACAAAGTTTTAAGTTAAAAGGTATAATTATCTAACAGAATAAATTTCGTATTCAAGGCAATACAGTCGTCAGAAAGAATCGTTCTACGTTGCGCAGTCAGTTTATAGTTAACTATAACTATAACTATAACTATAACTCATTTCTTATGCAATTTTTTAAAAATTGCCGTTTTTCCGCCAGATCAACTGCAAAGTAGTGTAATTCTTTTTTATAGCATCTCAGGCATGCAGCATCGGGCGGGCACAACCCTCGCAATTCATTTTCTTTTCACGCTCAAAAGAGACAGGGTAAGTGAAAAGGCGCGTATCGTCCCAATCATTGCACCCTTTCTCTCTGTGAGGTTTTAGTCCACCTTGTAGCTATAGTCATACTGGTTTACAAAATGTATGTTCGGGTTCCACTGTTTTTCTGTCTTGGTGTAATAGGCAAAATTGATGGTGATGGGATTTTTTCTGAAGTTGTCAATACGGAAGATTACTTCACAGACGACGAAAGCATTGCCCAATGAGTACATTGGTTCTGTGACAAACGAGAAAGAAAAGAATAGCATTAAATGAATGAACAGTCAGAAAGACGGTGACGCCTCCTTCATGTACCCAAATAGGAAAATAATTTCAGAGTATGATTCTGAGTGAAATACCACACTGGCATTCTAATGTTTGTTGCATGGTGAATGGTTATCTTGGGAATGAGGGTGCTCTATGAGATCAATCGTAAACTAATTCTACTGGATGTACTTAATGTTCTCAATGTTTCTAATCTAAGTTTTGATAAAAAATAAAAAAACCTACTTGAAATCAACACAGCTCGAAAGCTCTTTTGCAACATTAGTCACAAACAGTGAGGCAGTAGCCTAACTCTTCTTGCCCCGCCGCGAGATCTGGTACAAATTTTAAAGTTTCAATAGCTCTAAATGCCTCGCTTTTCACATTACCACATTTGGATGGTATATTAGTCTAACTGGCTGGTAATAATACTTACAGTTTTTGGAAAGTAACCTTTTTTCAAAGAAAACACTTCAAACATGCATAAAATGTTTATTGAATTACACGCACGCCAAGTCACGCCATATTATTCGACACTCATTTGCCAGTTAGCGAGTTAATTGGAAGTTACCGTTCACTTGGCTTTCTAGTCATACCTATCCTACAAATACGATAATAGTTTTGCTCCTCGTTTATTTCCAAATAAGCAACACTAAATTTTGCAAGTTTACAAAGAACTGCTATTAAATTCTTTCAGTTCTTTATGTCATGGAGAAACTTAACTCAAAAGACCAAGACTCATTGCTAAACTTCCATTCAATGATTTCAAAATTCAAACACACATAACTTTCAAAGCAGGAAATACAACTATCAAAAATTGAGTCAAATTTGCTACAGTAATGCTCTTTCATAGTTTCAGATTAAAAGATAATGCTAGTACAAGTTCATTTTTTTCAAAGTGGCAGGTTTCACGGCACTGGGCAGCCAATATTTACCAGCGGAAAACATCGCGCAATTAATTCACAATTGACAATGTGTCAATCTAGCTCTTTTTACAGTTTCAGCCTATGGATCTACAACAAAGTAATTTTATTCTTCAAAAAATGTCTCCTAAAAGCAACCTGAGAGTGCCTATAAGCTCCCTGTTCCTTTTTCGGTTTATTGAAAAGTGAGGGAGTAAGTAACGAACCGTCCATTGTCCCAAGCGTACAGCACTTTCTCTCTGGGGTTATAGTCCACCATGGAGTTGTAGTCAAACCGGTTTATAAACTGTACGTTCGGGTTCCACTGTTTTCCTGTCTTGGTGTCATAAGCAAAGTTGATAGTGGTGGGATTATCGTCATATTCGTCAATACAGTAGATTACTCCACAGGCTACAAAAGCATTGCCCATGTCGCCCTTTGGTTCTGTAAAAAACGAGAAAGACTGGCATTAGATAAATGAATAGTCAGAAAGTCAGTGATGCCTCCTTCATTTACCAAAATAAGAAAATAATTTTCAGAGTATGATTCTAAGTGAAATACCCCACTGGTATTTCACTCAAAAACCTATGAGTGGAACTTCTCCACTAGATCTTTGTTCTTGGAGATGTCGAGTTTCTTAGGGTCTTGATTTTCCACCAGGGTAAACACGATAGTTATTTATCTATATATTGGTATGCTTACGACAATCAAGCTTTAGGTGAGGGCTTCAGTAACAACACTAATGTTTGTTGCACGGCGAATGGTTGTCTTGGGAATAAGGGTGATTTACAAGAAGGCCTCTTTAAGATCAATAATTGACTAAATCTTCATTGGATGAGATAATAAGTCCGCTAATCATCAAATCTAATTTCTTCCTGTCTTCAGAAGGTGATTATTTTATAACTGTAGTACAGGTTATGAGGAACATTACGTCAAATAATTTTGGTCGCGACCTTTTGAAGGCTTCTAATGATTTTACAATATCTGTTTCACCTGTGTTCAAGGTCCACGTTCGTGTTATGCGGTTGCTATCTACGTCGATTTTTGCTGCGTTCAGACGTCCGTTGTTACTAGAACTTCCCCACAATACCCACAATCCATGCTCATCAACTGCTAGGTCCACTCTACTGCCTCCACCCCACTGGTAGGACGTAAATGAGAAATCACTCAATGTTATTGTGCCCTCAAGACGCTCTGTCTGCAGATTATACCTGTCGATGTGGGACGTTCCTCTTCTGTATTGACAAGAGGAAGAGATTTCAAACGGAGAGAGAAAGAAAAACTCGATCAGTTCTTATTTCTCAGCACTTTAAGTAAGTAGTTGAATAATTATACCTCTCTTGCTTAATAAGGGCCTATTAACCCTTTACACCCTAACATCAGTATGCATATTCTCCATACTGTTCTTTATACATTTCCAGAGGTGCCGACAAAGAGAATTTATGTAATAATCAACAGCAATTTTTTTAGATGGTGATCATTTCCTTTATTCTCATGACCGTGATGTTTGATTCAGGGGTGATATTGTTAGGGGAAAATAAATGCTGGTCACTCTTAGGGGTCAAAGGAACATAGCACAAAAAATCTGAGATTCTCTGAATAATTTATGAAAATAAAATACATTTTTATTCTTTTTTTCTTTTAAGTTTCAATCAAGTTCTAAACCTTCTTTTAGTTACTCAGTACGATCTAACTGTAAATTTGCAACTAAAAACTGTTCCTCTGGAATTATGAAATTCAAAGAGTTATGAATTTTCGGGTAAAATATCAAAAAATACTTTGCGAAAATGTGTTGCTATAATCCGTCTATTTGTAATCTTTGCAAATAGAAATAGCTAGAATATTTGCTTCTCGCGCATGTGAGTTTGTTGACGAAAACCAAAATGTTACCTGACCTGTTGTAGTAGAGGTATGACCCGTATACCACTGCTCCCGTCCCGTGCCAGTTATAAGGCAGTTGGTACGTCTTACGAGTCACGCCTGTCTTTAA